AGGGGGAAAAAGGCAAAGCGTGAATTCACAAAACTTAGAAACCGCTGTACAGCATCAGCCATACAGGTAGCTTCAGACAAAGATAATACGAGCTTACAAAGAAAACAGCTGTGACAACCAGAATCCAGATCTTGATGGTTCTTGTACTAGTCATTTTTAGCAGCTCCTGAGGGAGAATAAATTCATGACATTCATATGACTCTTCATGTGACAATGTGAAATGCAAAGCTAGTAGTACCACAGAAAATAACGAATCTTAGAATTAAAATTGACAGTACAAGCATATGAATGGACATTTTATTAAGATATATTATTATTTAACGTATCAAAAAAATAGTGAGGTGGTTCTAAACAAGAGTCAGGAGATTTTCCAATATTAAGACGAATAAGTAAAATTAGAAGTTCGGTTTTCGCACTGGTATAACACTGTATTACTGCGTTACACCCATGTCCCAGCGAATATCGAATAAAAGCAAAAATCAGGGGAAAAAATGGTAACATTTTGCGCGAAAAATGTCACGGTTGATGACTAACGTGACTGACTCCAGTGATGAGGAAGTAGCGTTGAAGCCTCTGTGTTTTTCCACTTTTTAAACTTCAGGCATTATATTTTCACTTCTGAATCTGACTCCATCTTTACCGACACAACAGGGTTTTTATATGCATTGTTTGCTTAGAAAATGTATGAAAGATTCCCACAGCACTGACGGCTTTCGTGTCTAAAAATTCAAAATTCTCAAAAACGGCGCTAGTTCGCTTTTCGACGCTTTCATGGCCGTTCACTCTGATTTGTGTATGCTCAGTGCTAAAGCAAAGAAGGAAAGTTCGCGTCGACGCTTTACCGGCATCGAAAATTGAATACCCGAACACTTAAGGGCTTTTGAACGTTTTCGATTTCCAGGAATCGCCGAGGTAACTGATCAGATTTATAACGAAATGCCAAAATCGCCAATTGTCTTACAGAGGTTAATTTAAAAGGGCGTTCGGATCATAAGATGGCTCTTGCTGATTTGACGATTCACAAGAACAGAAAATTGATCTTGTAGGTAATTTCTACGTGAAACGTAACATGATGTATAGAGAAGATCAGGCTGTAATTACACGAAGAAAGGTGCCCCCCTGGATCGATGGAGAAATGTCTCATTTTCACTGAACATATACAACTTATTTGAGAGCATGCGAGAACTACATTGGATATCGGACAGAGGACAGCGCCTCTGCATGGGAAATGTGATCATCATAGGTGATTCAGGTTTGGAACTAAACTATTTAATTTCTAAGCTGCGTTTTCACAAGTGTCAGCAGAATAACAGATCTGCAGCGTAACCAAGGGGCCTCTTAAAAGAGGAACAAAGAAATTCTCGATCCTGGACGGAGATACTAAATATTCACCTTGTTCACTTTGCAGTCCCTCTATCAGTTCTGGAAATTATCGCCGTTAGGCCTTTCTTTATCAAATACGCACGAAAGAACAACAACTTCCTAACTTCCTGCTTGCCAACTTTTAGCAAGGTAAATAAGTAACCGAGGTATGTGACAATTGCTTTAAAAGACGCTCTTACGTTGCGCATACGTATAGACATGATACGGATTCCTCACCCAGGTAGTGTACAGCGCTGTTCGTCTAGAAATAAATGCTCGCCGTGTTGTTTCTTTCCATCGTGAATTTTGATCTCACAGGGGTTCAGAGAGGAAAGGACAGAAAGGGGAGCGGAGAGGTAACGTTCAACCGATTTTTTTTCCTAGTATTCCGGTAAAATTTCTATCCGTCAGTCTATCAGTGTTTACTTCCGCCTTGCAAACGAGGTTGTCGGGTGACGTTAGTCTAATTCTAAGAGAAACAGGAAGTTAATATATTCGCGGAAAACGTAGCCTTCGTCTAGTAAGGCAATCCAATTTAATCAGAATCGTTCATGCGCTTCCTAACCCTTAGGCACAGGCAAACAGAACATGAAGGTTGCCCTCAGGTTGGTAGAAAGCAAAAAGACTAACAGAGAAAACAAGTTTTGCTCGGGTCGGCTTTCTAGTGTCTTTAATTGCATATGTATAAATCTCCATAAACCTTCATATAACTTGCAAGCAGTTAACTAAACTAAAATCATAAAAAAGAAAGTGTGAGCAAAGTGTGGACAAATAAGAACAATAACAGAATGGAAAGGCCCAAACAGCTAAACATAGCGGATTCCGTTTTCTGCGCCCAACTGCGTTTAAAGTAGATGCACTTGTTAAAGTTTGCACTTGATAGCTTGAACTGACCGGAGGCTGAAGAATTCTTCAATCTAGTTTTCATATATTTCATTTTAGCATAAATCTACTAGCGTTCTATCACGAATGCCGTTCTCTGATTGGCTACGCTACTTACTGCCTATTCTGTG